ACTACAGCAAGCTGTAGTAATAGTGGCTAAGAGACTACTATGAAGTCCATCACAATATTGTGAAGTTACCTTTTGTCAACCAATTTTGATTGAAAAATTTGTGATTGTTTGCACTAAATGCTGCGTCTCTCTGATAGAGCTAATATTCTAACTATCCTCACATAATAAGAGGTGTTAGATCCGTTCTATGAGAATTCGGCTGAAGCCGAATCACTGTTAACCCATTTGGCATGACCAAGTCTCCTTTAATACTTTCAGTTCTGCTGAATTGAGACATTTAAACATTTGACTACAAAAATTTAGATTGTTTTTCTTCAACTATAACTATTCCTCGAATTCCAGCTTATGTGATCTATACATTGTTTGACATTTTCATGAGCCGTAGAAATGCTAATAATTTTAAAAGGGCCAGTGGCACCTTCTGCACAGCATATGCTGTTATGACAGCACATGTTTTGGTAGAAGTTACAGATATATTTAACTAAGCCTGAGATGAACTTAGCCAACCATAATGTTTAGCTGACAAGTTCTAAAAGAAAAAAAATACAAAAAAGATTTAGATAAATAATCCTTAACTCCCTAACTTCCTGTTAGCTATTAGATAAACTTCCCCACCAATTACATCAAGGGAAAGGCTGTATTGGAACATTCTGGCTTCCATTGCAAATTTTAAATGCCAAACAATTGTCTGTGCTTTGCCTTTAAAAACTTAGTCATGCACAGGAAATCAAAAGAAAATGCTTCCTGGTTCGGGGAATGCAGAAATGAAGCATTACCTATGTTGCACACTTCAGTTGCATTTATAGGAATAAGGAAAAGATACACTGTCACTGACTCAAACATACACATTCCTCTTTATAAACATTTGACGACAAACTTTGGACGTCTCTGATTTCCGCAACTAATAGTTAACTAGCCAATCACCTCATTCTCCGGGCATTGTGCTGTTATCAGAATCCAAGAAAATGTACTCCCTAACAGTGGAATTCAAAATAAATTTCAAAGTTTGAGCCAAAATAGCTGATTTTACAAAAATTCTCCATGTCCGTTCTGTGTGCAGTTTGGCTATTTTGGGCTTATATTTAAAATTTGCTCAGAATTTTCACGAATTCTCACTTTAGTAAATAACCATTTTAGTCTTTTTTTTTTAAAAAATTTTTATTTTAAAACAACCGCACTTTATTTTAAAATATCAGAGTTGCTGAGTGGACTTTAACGCCTTCAGGACCAACAACATATGACTGTCACGTTAAATAGGAATATGTTTAACCTTGATGTAAGGAAGTGTGTCAGCAATTTGCTTTTCATACCATGTCTGATAGGTGGCAGTAGGCCACTGCAAAACCTTGTTGCTGTCCCAGCATTTCAGATTTAGCTGGATGTATTATTGTATTCTAATCTACTGTACTGAGCGTCACACAATACAAGAGTCCAACTTTTTTTGTTTTATTTGCTACTGAGCTAGTTATCTGTTGTCCCTTTGGGTATTTGTATTCAATAAGAGTTTATTGAACTAGATTGGCAGACAGATTAAAGAGATAACAAAACTGAATACAGCTGTAAACATTCCCAACAAGTTTACGTAAGTATCAAGTGTGTACAGGAAGGCAGCTCAGTCAATAGTGACACAAAAACAGATTGTTATGTAGAGTGAAGGAATACATAATCGAGATACACTCTTTACATTAAGTAAAAGATTGTATAGCTTTGTTTTTCATCACCCAATCACCTAACCCAGGTTTAAGCAGAGGAACGTTCTAGTATAACTCGACCGATGCCGCCCCAGGTAACCATCAAAAGAGAGAACGGGAAAAATAGAAAGAAGAGAGAAGAAGAGACACCCTTTGGGGATTTAGATGTCACCCATGTGAAAGTCAAAGTTAACACTTCGATGTGACTTACACACACATCTCATAATGTGTAGATTGGAATGGCCTCTTTTGCATCTTAAATATTTACACTTTTCTTGCATTTGAAAGTACGCAGTTGATAAAGGACATATCTTTATTAGCTATGTGTATTTACAATGTTCTATTTTAAAGTCTCTTGAGTCTTGAGTTGCACATCATTTATAATGACATCATAATGTGTTTCCAAGGATGATTCAAAACCATTCTTTCTCTGAGAGGGTTCATTCTGGGAATTTTGAATTTGTTTAACCTCTTTTTGTGTTATTTTGCAGTGCTGAAGATTATGAATTCATTTCAGGAACTCGAATGCGCAAACTAGCTCGAGAAGGACAAAATCCACCAGATGGATTTATGGCTCCAACAGCTTGGACTGTGCTGAAGGAATACTACAAATCTTTGGAAAAGGCTTAAATATTTTCATTCACTTTTCTTTATCTTGTCATCTAATAGGACCACAAGAATTAGTTATGCTCTTTTGGTTTTGGTGTCTACCAGGCTTTTTATTCTCTGCTTGCCTTTTAACTGAGCTTCTATGTCAGAATATTTCTCCATCCTGGTATTAATTCTTGTTTTATCTCTCCTAATGCTAAGATCTATGTGTTTTATATTCTAAGCTCTAACATAGTAATGGGTCGCTGGCGACTAGTGTGTTAGTCTGGTTGCTACATGCATTCAGCTTGAACTATCAATTGTAAAAATGATTAATTCCAGAAGATTTTTCTCCATTCTACCCAGATTTTGTTATCAACATTTTAAGATTTGCTCTGTCAGGATTTTAACAAGCTGCATAATGTAGATTATATTTGTAGATTAAGGGCACATCTGTGTGATTATGCTCTTTTTGTGTATCGATAAAATATATACTGTAAATCTTGATAAACTCACACACCTATATTAGGCTATTAAAATACATATTTAGGCTATTAAATCTATATTGACCCAAGAAAGCTAATAGACTAGTTTCTTTCTAAGACATGTACTCAAGACAAAATAGTTAAAATGTTATTAATTCCCCCCTCCCCAACCATATCTCTGATCTTAATTTTTTTGTAAGTGTGTGATCGTATCTGCTATCTTTAAGAAAGCATCAACTTGAACGTGGACCAGTATAAAAGTTAGACTGCTGAAATCGCCAGCAAATGTATAGATTAAAACCTATTTTAAACATATTTAAAACACTTACGTTTAGGTTGCTTCTGCTACCTCTGAGACGGTGGCTCCCAAAAGGAATTGAATACATTCTAGAAGACATATGTGGGACCTACAATGCCATCAATCTTTCCACATCTAAGGAATTAGGGATTCTGCTGCATCATTTAATGTAGGATAAGTGTAGCTTTTTCGGGACAGAACAGGTTAGTCTCTAAGTAAAAATTATATTGCTTAATTAGTGGAAAACAAACTTTTTTAATAAAATAAAATCAATGTGTTTTTTCCATATTCAGTTAGAATAGAATTCAGTCTGTACTATGTACTGTACTGGTGCATTTTTAAGTTTGTTGGGTTTATTTATTTTCTTTCTAATTTAATTTAAAGGGACACCGTAGGCACTGTATCTGCTTCATCTCATTAAACTGGTTATAGTGTCTGGAGTCTTCTGGTCCCATCTTTTCTATCAGCATTAAACAGTTTTTAAAGTTTTAATGCTAAACAATAGTCCCCGGCAATCCATCCCCTCTGTGCTGCTTTGGCTAATAAGGAAGTATTAGCCTGAGCAGAAATGGGCAGCTGTGATTGGCTGAGAGTGTCAGCTGACTGCTTTTAGCCTGTCAGAGTTCCAACTGACGGTATGAGTGGGTATGACAACAAGGAAGTGTGTAATCTCTGCCTTAGCTACACATACTGAAGGGGCCGGACTGTGGGTGGCCAGGGACTCTTATTTTGTGGCATACTGCACGAACATGGTGCAACACTGAATGGAGGGACAGTGCCAGGGTACTCCAGGCACTATAACCAATTCAAAGAGATGAAATGCTTATAGTAACTACAGTGTCCCTTTAATTTACATATAGATTTAAAGAAAGACTTCTCACATTCTGTACAGTATTGTTGTAACCGTTCGCAATTTCCAAATAACTCACTGTTTCCATGTTATGCAATAGCCTCTCTATTACCCTGATAGGCAAATCAAAACCACGCTAAGGACAACGTCGACAGGAGAGCACAGATTTAATGATCTGTCGATGAAGAATAGACTGTTAAATTCAAACCTTATGACTAAAGGGACATGATATGTCAAATGGCTTATTGCCTATTCATGAATTTTTCTAATTGATTACTAATATTAATGAAAACTTTCTTATGATATTTAACATTACACTCCTTTTTCATGTCTAATACAATACACCGTTTTTAATAAATGATAAAGAAAACAGAACTATTTCCAATTCTTTTGGGTTTTTTCTTTTTTTTTTTAATTGTGCCTTTCCTAAGTGACAGTGAGCTTTCTATTGTTAATTTTTTTTATACACATCTGTGATACTTAGAAATTGTATGAAGTGCGAACTCATTATAGAGTTGTCTTAATCCCCTTAAGATATTGACCTGCACAATAAGCAAACTTAAAATCTTGCAAAAACTTTAAATATATATATATATATATATATATATATACACCGTATTTTCCGGCGTATAAGACGACCCCCAACTTTTCCAGTTAAAATATAGAGTTTGGGATATTCTCTCCGTATAAGACTACCCCTCAAAATTAGCCATGATGTACAGTGAGCAGACAGAGCTACACAGCAAGACATTAAATAATGATAATCTGAAATAGCATTTAAAGCCCAGGTATGTGCCAGGCTGTTTGGGCATATAATCCATGCCTGCTAGTCTAGCACACAGGAGGCTAATTGCGATATATTCTTTTTACTCCCACCCCTCCATTCTTTTTACCCCCCCTCCATTTTTTTTACTCCCCCTCCATTCTTTTTATTCCCTCCCCATTCTTTTTACTCCACCCCCCCCAATCCTCCCTACATTCTTCTCACCTCCCCTTCCCTGTGCAGAGTGGGTGGCCGAGCTCCTCTTCGTCCTGTCAGTCCGGCCGGGTACCGCGCGGTACAGGAGATTCAGTTACCTGTTCCCGGCCGGACTGAAAGGAAGTAAGCACTCAGTGTGCACTTCCTTTCAGTCCGGCCGGGTACCGTGCGGTACAGGAGATTCAGTTGCCTGTTCCTGGCCGGACTGAAAGGAAGTGCACACTGAGTGCTCACTTCCTTTCAGTCCGGCCGGGAACAGGTAACTGAATCTCCTGTACCGCGCGGTACCCGGCCGGACTGACAGGACGAAGAGGAGCTCGGCCACCCACTCTGCACAGGGAAGGGGAGGTGAGAAGAGAAGCAGTGCGGCAGTCATCTGAGTGCTCTCTATAGAGCGCTCAGGCGGCTGCAGCATTAGAAGGGCTGGAGATGGGGGCACAGGGCGCCTCCGGCAGCCATATAGACCCTATACCTGGCGTATAAGACGACCCCCGACTTTGGAGAAGATTTTCCAGGGTTAAAAAGTCATCTTTTGCGCCAGAAAATACAGTGTGTATATATGGAAGGCATGGCCTGAAGTTGTGGGAGGGGCTTGGTTCCCCTTCTTAAGGAGCACCAGCCCTTCCCTCATTACCTGTTAGGTCTGGCGAGTTGTGGAGAGAAGTCGTCACTTCTGGTCAGTCCTGACTCCATTTTGCTTACCTGCATCTCATGGGCAGCCTCCAGGGTCCCAACGAGTCCTGTTCCTCCGGTTTCTGACTTGAAAGCAGGCAAGGGGTTTTCGCAGGGCTTCTCGTGGCGGCACCAAGTCGCAAAATCGTAAGTCTTACGGCCGCCGGAAGTTTCGGCGCGGCCGTTGCACGTCATCAATGGTCGACGGGCGCACGCATTGTACCACTTGTTCGGTACATATTTAAAACGAATGCCGGCGTTCGTGTATGTCATATTTGCATATGGGTATGAGTGAACAGGGTTTATTCGGTTGGGACAGACTTTGCATATTCAGGCCATCTCATGGCCGTTCGGTTAACGAAACGCTGGTCATATTCGATTATAAGATGGCTATATGTATTAGGGCGACATCTAGTGGCTGGACCTTTTTTTCGTTTTTCACCTTTCTCCTGGCTTCACTTTATCACCATATGTTCTGAATTGGGTTAAAATGTCTGACTGACCCCTGGTGGTCATAAGGGTTATGACATGTGGCATAATTACATTTAATATTTTGGCATTGGTCACAGGATAAGAAGACATATGTCATAAAACGCTACTGATGCTAATTGTCCTGATGGTATTGGCAGCAGTAGTTTGTGGCATGTATTTGCTTATTATGATCTATGTCTTGAATAAACCCGGTGGTCAACAGGATGGTTACAAGAAATGTGATACCTTGGCTTACGGGGTCTTTCTGTTTCTACTTCAGTTATATCTAAGTACGTACATCATAGCTACACATTTACGAGTATTAACTGTTTGGTAATTATGTATTATGCAGATATTTACGGTCGGGCAAGGTTAGCAATTTAGAGATTATGATCCTCTTATGTGCCAGTATCACAACATCCACAAGGTGCTGCTACCCTATCAACTGTTCACCTGTCATAGGTCAGTAATCACGATTAATGATCCTCTGGTGGACTCGCATGACCTGGGTCCTTATGTATATTTTTCTGTATTACTAGGCATAGGCATCCTTGATCATTGTAAGTATTTGATTCCAGTCTTTTATTGTTGGAATATTTTCCGGTAGATATCTTGTTTTGCAGGGGGAATGATGGGTACATATTGATATAACCCTGGAAACTCACTATTACTCTCGTAGGTTACTACAGATCGCCTGTATCACCTTATCCTACTACCTGGCTATTTGCTCATAAGGTACGTCATTTTGCTCTCGATAAATTCTCCCAACAAACCTACGCTTTTCGGGTAATAAGCTAGATATACTGGCATACAATATAGGAGCCTCCAGGTATGTTTTTCTTGGCCTTCTACGCCTTAAGTTAGTGGTCCCTCGAGGCCAACACCCATCCTCATTTCGGAGGTACGGCATCCCCTCGGGCCAATTCGTAGCTAGCCGCCTCGCTCGGTTGCACAGAGAGGGCCTCACCTGTCACTCCCATTCTGTCTTATGCTTTTACGAGTCACAGAGAGGCCATCACCCTGCCATAATGCCAATGGCCACGTACCCCACACGAGCCAAATCATAGATAGTGCCTCTCAAAGCCGCTTGGCAACTAGTAGGGTCTCACCAGTCACGTTCTAAGTAATTTTTTCGCTGCTTGGCATTAGTTACACCAGCCAGTGCAGTAGGACCCCAGATAACATATTATTTTTATGTTGTAGCATGTCAAAAATACCTGAAGGCGGGGAAGATTTGTCCATCCCCAGCACACCGGCTAGATCAGTCACTCCATCCCGGGGGGACGACAACACGAGCCCTGCATCACTCAGGGCATGGACCATTCCTCGGATCACTGCCGAACTACGAAAGAGGAACATTCCTTTCCCAGCCACTGCTAGGAAAGCAGAATTGTACAGACTGTTGAATACACACTGATAACTCAGGGGCGGGGGAAGGGTCCAGTGGCAGCTAGTCTTCTGATCTGCATACTGTTTTGTCCTCAGTCCTCACCTCTTTGGGCTGTATTACCGATAAACTTGACAAGTTGGATGCAGATAGCCAGCAGCGGTCAGCTTCTGCATTAGGTACCCCGGTTGCTACGGCGCGTCTGGATCCCCTACCGGGTAATATACCAAGCAGTCTTAAAAATCCGCTTATTATTAATCCGGCACACATGGTGCCTGCAAACACTAAGAAGGAAATCTTGGAAGGGAAGGATATCAATCTGGTATCTTTTCTTATAGCCTCGCAAGATGTCCTTGAAAATAGAACCATGCATATGGGGATGTGTAGGTGGTATTAAAATCTAGGGACCCTAGGTTAAATCGGAAGCTATCTATCCCTGAATTTGTGTTGGCTTTCGGGATATACAGAGATGTGATTTGCTCAGTATATCTGGATAGGAGAGAAGAGTTGGACCTTTATCTCCACAAGCTGGTGTATTTGGGGCACAAGTACGGTGGTACGTCCTTTTACGACTACCACCGTTCCTTTTACGCGAAGGCATCGGCCGCTCTTACTCAGTTTAATCATCAAACTGATTGGGGTGTGCTTGATACAGAGCTTTTTTGTCGGCACTTTGCGGGCCTCAAAACCCCAGCTTGTGCCATTTGCTCGTCCCAACTCCCACACGGCTAATCTGTGCCCTAACTCTCCTGAGGTGAATGCCGTTTTTCCCCCTACTAACATGATGCCCACTGGGAGAACAGGCAGGGGGCTGAAAGACAAACTAGGCTGTGATATAGTGTTTTGGGGAAAATCGCAAGCCTGTAACAATTTTAATACTGGCATGTGCGGATACAGTGCCTGCAGACTGCTTCATGTCTGCTCCCAATGTTTCAGGGCTCACTCAAAAGTAATGTGCCCCAATAAATTATATCCTAAGCAGTATTTATCGTCTCTTAATGTCTCCCTACTGGAAAAGCTTTTGTGTGAGCACCCATCGTGACATCTCGTTGAGTTTTTGGTGGCAGGATTTACTTGGGGGTTTCACACGGGTATTATTCACATGCCTACGGGAATCTTGGAATGTAAAAACTTGCAGACAGCCCTAGCAGCTCCAGACACTATAAACCTACTCCTCCAGAAGGAAGTTGACCAAGGTTTCTTAATAGGCCCTTTCGTCTCCCCGCCTTTCGTGGTCTGGATAACTAATCCCATAGGACTGGTCACTAACAAATCCTCCAATAAGCAAAGGTTAATTCTCGACCTATCTGCTCCCCATGCATCACTTACCCCAAGTCTCAATTCTCTTATTCCATCAGAAGAATTTTCCCTCCAATATGCGACCATAGATAATGCCATCACTGCCATCCTCTCTGCCGTGGTAGGGGCATGGCTGAGTAAAACTGATATTGTAAACGCCTTTAAGTTACTCCCTATCCACCCTTCCCTGTGGTATTTACATGGTGTTAAGTGGCAAGGTTCGTATTATTTTTTCACACGCCTCACGTTTGGTTCTAAGAGCAGCCCCAGGATTTTTGATGTATTTGCTGAGACGTTGTGCTGGATGCTGCTTAACATCTGTAAATGCCCAACTGTGATACATTACCTGGACGACTTCCTGACCATAGAAAGGAACCTGGTACCTCCTAGTAGCCTCCTGTCCATAACGCGACTGTTCACACAACTAGGGATACCTGTTTCACCAGCAAAGACTGAAGGTCCAGGTACGATCATCAACTTCTTGGGAGTGGTACTGGACTCTGTACATATGCAGGCTAGCCTCCCCGGGGAGAAGATTAATCGCATCCTAGCAGCCATTGACCTTTACCTAGCAGGTGGCTCGTGTAATAGGAAAGAATTACAATCTCTGTTGGGTTCCCTAAATTCCACAGGGAGAGCGTTCATATCCCGTTTGCTTAGGCTCTTTCCCCTGTTTCACTCTGATACCACCTGCATTACGTTAGACATACATGCCACCGCTGACCTACATATGTGGAGAGAATTTTTGCTAAATTGGAATGGGAAAAGCATTTTTATCCCGGTATGGTCAGATAAGTCAGTGTCATTATGGACGGATGCCGCTGCCACGTCAGGTTTCGCAGTTTCGCAGCTCATAGTTCATAGACACATCAGCCTTATTCGAGCTTTACCCCATTGTGGCAGCAGCAGTTAAGTGGGGAGCTGGCTGGTCTGAGAATACGGTGCGTTGCTTCTCTGACAACATGGCACCGTGCCATATTGTAAACAAGGGTCGTTCCTCTTCCCTGGTCATCATGTGGTTTATGAGGACTCTCACTTGGCTAGCTGCTAAACACAGTTTTCTTTTAACTTGCATTCATGTTCCTGGGGTGCTCAATATCGCTGCTGATCACTTCTCACGGTCTCGCTTTCAGGAGTTCCGGGCAGCACTACCAACAGCTACCCCGACACCGACTCCAGCACCTCAGTGGCAGGAATTGGTTTGGGACTAAAAGAATTGCTCTATCATGGGCAACAACTTTCACAACTCGGTCTTTCCAATAACACCAGGAAAGCATATGGCAGAGCTTATCATGTTTTCAATAAATTCTTGCTGGACTTTAATGTCACTGACCAATTCTCCATTGAGACTATCATCGCATTTATTTCTTTTTGCCACCTTCATCTGACACTATCATATAACACCATTAAGTTGTATGTCACAGGTATTCAACATCACATCCTCACAACCTGGCCTAATAGACAACGATTTCTGTCATCCTACCAAGTTAAAGCCATACTAAAAGGTATTAAAGACTCCACCCCTATACCCTCACCTTCCAGGCTACCCATTCACAATCTTTTGTTTCAGTCACTATCCAATCTGCTAGACACCTCACCATTCGAAACCCATACCAACCGTGTAATTAAAACAGCCATCTATTTGGCTTTTTACGGTTTTCTTAGGCCCAAAGAGTTCACCACCACTAACTATAACTCCCCTGACTTCATCACTAGGTCGAATCTGGTAAAAGTACTAGATCACTACGTGCTATCCCTACACCATACCAAAACTACTGCTAAAGGACAGACTGTCACTATGACCTATTACCCCACTAACAATAATTGGTGTCCGGTGGAAGTTTTCAACAAATACCTCTCCTCTTGTACCATAGCTCCTACACAACCACTCCTTACGTTACACGGTAACAAGCTAACAACAAGTAAATTCATGGTGTATGTTAGGATGTTGTTGGTCCGTTTAGGATTAAACCCAGCAAATTACTCTGGCCACTCATTTAGAAAAGGAGCCGCCACTACAGCTTCTAAGAAGAATATCCCGGCTCACATAATTAAAATTTTAGGCTGTTGGAAGTCCACGGCTTACACAAGATACATCCCTCAGCCAATACAAGAAATGCGCTTAGCATTCAAGACCATGAATATGTGATATGCTATGATATATTTGTAGGATGAATAAACTGGTTATATCTTTTTTGCCCTCTTTTATTTCAGGCCTACTGCCTCGTCAGTTCCGGCACACCACAACTGACATTTCCATTCCCTGTTGGTCTTATGTTACTAATACTACGGCTTTAGGCCGTGACCACAAATGGAAGGCATGGCCTGAAGTTGTGGGAGGGGCTTGGTTCCCCTTCTTAAGGAGCACCAGCCCTTCCCTCATTACCTGTTAGGTCTGGCGAGTTGCCCCTCCCACCACACCTCCTTTTTAGCACTTCATAAGGTAGGCCCTCTTTTATTTCAGGCCTACTGCCTCGTCAGTTCCGGCACACCACAACTGACATTTCCATTCACTGTTTGTCTTATGTTACTAATACTACGGCTTTATGCCGTGACCACAAATGTGTGTGTATATATATATATATATATATATATATATATATATATATATATATATATATATATATATATATATATACAATAGTAATAAACTATATTTTGGGTTTGGTCCATTTCCCTGAACAAGCAATTGTATCAAAGTATTGCACAGTTACAGGTACATTAACCTCCCCACCCCCAAAAAAACCCCAAATATCTTTTAAAAATATGTAATTTGTTCATATACGTTGGGGGGGAGGGGGGGGGAGAGATGACATCCAAACATGTCTTGATCCTTCTTTATTACAGGTTAACTGACTTTAAATTTCATAATTTTAAAGTAACAAGATATATTTGTGCAATAATGTTTCTTGTGAATAGCTGTACAAACCAGAATTTAAGTGATTTCTGCACTCACCCAGTCCATAACCTATTTACAAGATTGTCTTGTACAGCAGTAACTTGACTGATTTAGAGCATTATTGAATTACATTTCTGAAATGGTAAAAGCCAAGGTGACAGGCACACAAACTGGTAAAAACCTCTTAATTGCAAATTTTATAATGAAGATTAGTAGTTTGCTGGTTCAAAAATATTACCAGTCAAACCACACTAGACATGCTTCCCGACCTGCGAAAGTCATCATGGTGTCACTTGATTCACTGGGCGCATCTCCTTGTTGCTCGTTTTGCCGATCCTGGATACAATTGTTACAATCTTTAATCTCATCCCTTACTTATATTCCACAAGAAAAGCTGGAGGGATCAAGACATCGCTTTCTTTCTTCCATCATCTCTCCTGGTATATAATTGCCTGTAGAGGAGCTGAATTAATTGTTCCATCAAAAACCGGCGCTGCCCAGGAGTGTAACTTCCACCAATACGATGCAGGCCTAGTAGCTGTTGAGACAAAGTCCATAGGAGACGCGAAACGCATCTAGTGTTTAGGGCATAAGGCTTTCTTTCCTGTAATCTGCAATTAAGAGGTTTTTATCAATTTGTGCACCTGTCACCTTGGTTTTTGTAATTTCAAACATATTTATTAAGTGTGGGAGTGACATCACACTTGGGTGACACTAGAGCTGCACTTGGTTTTAGCCACATTGTACCTTAAATCTATATTTTTTTTGTTTGAATTACATTTCTGTTCATATAAATAGAGGATTGGAACTTTGCGTTATTTAAGATACTGTCTTGAAATGTTACATACATTCTACTGGTAATCTAGTCACACACATTTTGTTAACAATTTTGCGATAAGCTTGTAGTTATCCTACATTACGTATTTAAATATATTTGTCACTGTCTTAAAAAATAGCAACTTATTGTTTCTTATTTTAACGTTTTTTTCTATTTAACGATTTCTTTGTTACATGTATTCAATAAACGTAGCCTATTGAAAGACTGGATTTTAATATTGTGTTTTTTTTATTTGAAACATTAAATCGCAAGCAACTTGGGCTAACCATGCCTAATTACCAGTTTGGGCACCAAAACGACTTAATTGAAATTAAGTTATACTGCCACAAGGTCCCTGGGCTTGACTCACCTTTAGGGGTTAAACCGTTCACAGGTGGTATAACCCCACATTTTGTTCTCCAGCGCCGGATAACACTTTCAGCTTTCTGAATTCCTAGAAAATGGTAGGCTCGGGCATCATTAGGCAGGGATGCCACTGGTTGGCTTAGAGCTGTCGTTCTAAGCCAATTATTATCTCCCCATTTATTAAAATGGTACTACTGACTGGCTAAGAGAGTCAGCTGACTGCTAAAAGCCAGTCAGCCACTTCTCTGCCCAATACTGCCTGAAGCTTACATTTCTAGGATTTCAGAAAGCGGTAGGACAAGGGGGCAGAGCGATCTGGAGCTGGAGCACAGACTTTGGAGTTAAATAGTTTGTGAACAGTTTAACCCCTAAAGGTGAGCCGAGTGCCTCACGGCATTATAACAATTTCATTTCAATTAAGTTGATTTGGTGTCCAAACTGGTGCTTTAGCTCACGTATCTGTATCAAATGTTACGCTGTCAACTCTTCCCTATCCTTAGCACAAGTTTGCGAAAAAAATAACCTGGTCACTGGAATTTTTTGTTTTGTCTGTCAAAGACTAACGTTCTCGTAGGTTTATACTTACAAACTTTTCATCAATTTATCAATATTTAGAGAACTGATCATCTGACTCCTGAATGATTAGCAAAGGAGCCCGTGACTGTAGTCACAATCACTCGTATCACTTAAAATCACAGCCCAGCCCCCACAGCTTCAGAGGCCCCTTTGGAGGTGACCACAGGTATATATTTGAGGAGGTTTTGGATAGTAATGCCACTTTAATTATAATTTTCATATAGCATATATATGTTATGCGTTGAGAATATATACATCAAAGCTCTATCACTTAAATTGTTTAGTTTTTACACTGTTTTTAAAATTGTGTTTATCACATTAATTTAGCATTATATATTCACAATGCTTTTACAACAGATTAATTAAATACACTTTAGCTGATTTATCACTAGTACTGTTTGGTTTGTCTCCCACATTGGAATTGAACCCACCAATATTGGGGTACTGTGAAGTAGTGCTGGAATTAAATCCAAATGTTTGTTGAGATAGGTGAGTTTAAATAGTCTTGTAATATTAAATATATTTTTATGTGTGAGCTGTTCCTTAATCTGTATTATGTATACATTTTGGTCACTATGGCAGCACCATTCTTGCAAAATGCATGTTCTGGGTGTGCCCCCAATTCCTTTTGTCTTTACTGTGGTAGCATAAGACTGACACTTCATGTAGGTTCCCGAATGACTCTTATGTTTTTCACCCTGTACCCATTATAAGTGCAGGGTGTATTTTGTAATGTTATTTGGGGGATGTCTTGTGTTATCCTCTGTCCTGCGCCACCTGTTGATTGCTATAATTATGTGCACTACCTGAATAACAAGGCTAGCTAATTTGCATATTCAATAGATTTGCATATTATGGTTAATGCAGACAGGTATGAAGGAGAAGCAAGACTGGCAGGGGATCGACACCTGCCTTGCAGAAGCAAGACTGGTTACTGGGTCGATACCTGCCTGGGAAGACAAGCCCGGCGTGTGTTGCTGTATCTGCTTGTTTGTTAGTACATATTACACAGACATATTATAACTGAGTCTTTGGACATTCATCATGGGTAATTTCACTTAGGAACAATGATTAAAAATAGTGGAATGTTATTGGTGTGACATATCGGGATATGATTGAAAATGTACTTCTTGAAATGTGGTTTCAAAGGGATAGGGCTACTGCCCAAACAGCCAGGTCCACAATGGACCACCTGAGACAACTGTCTGGCAAGTGGATAATTTTAAGAAATCCTGAGATTAATTGGCCGCAATGTTCGCCTGACTTTTCAGCTCCCAATTACTTCCTGTGGGAATATGTAAAGCAGTGGATGAACGTGAACAAACCGCGTACACTTGGGCAGCTCAAGGAGAATATCCATGCAGGAATTTGAACACTAGAGCCTAAAACCATTTCATATTGTTATGAACAATGCAATTGAAAGAACCCAGCTGTCCGAGGCAACAAATGGAGCAATTAAAAAATGTCATCTTCAGGACCTGGTCAAATAAATCTCCATACGTGAAGCATTCATTATATGTAATATCATTGAAATTGGTTAGTTAATAAAAAAATAAAAAATTGTCTCCTCACACCACAGTCTGAATTTTGGCCCACCCTGTATAAACAAATCATTAATACATTTTTCTCATTTTTTGTTTAATGCCTATAATTTCTATAAACCTTCCCATCACAGATCTTCAAAAATGTGTCTCCAAAACTATATTAAAAATACATGGTAGCTCTTTTCATACACTAACAAAATAAATCCTCAAGAGCAACACCTAGCTGTGTTGAAACTACAAAAAACCTTCCACATTAGCCTCCAAGAAATGGAACCTCAAATTTTTGTATTTACTTGGTTTAAAAAAAAACTTTCATTAGTCTCTTATATCTAGGAAAGCCATATGCCTATCCCACACATGCTTAAAGCGGCACTGTCATGCCGAACATACCTTTCCCCAATCGATTCCTCTTCTCTCTCAGGATCTGTTCCTCATTTTTTTTTTGTCTGCTCTAGTTTTCTTTAAAACATAAGACAAAGTAGGGACTTTGTTAAATAGTAGGGACTTTGTTAAATAAATGGAGGAAAAAGGCAAAAAAGTAAGATTTAGTTCTTAGGCATTTGTTTCAGAGAAACTGCTATGTTTACCTATGGGTTAATCCATCCTCTAGTGGATGTCTCATTGAGAGCCGCTAGAGGCGCTCCTCACTGTGATTTTCACAGTGGGCAAGTGGCTGATTTAGAGGAATTTGTCAGGATTTGCATTCTTCATTTTTGATGTCTTAGAACTGTAGGAAACTGAGTTTGGCTCCATTTATTTAATCAATATTCTCTCTAATTACTAGTAATGCTATATGCTTGATTTGTACTTTTAATAATTAACATTTAGGTCAGTGTAATAGGAATAGTGGGCCATGGCAAATTCAACTGCCCTTCTACTTTCTTTCCTCATAAAAGGGAGCATTTATGTTCATCTAGGTAAATCTTAAGGCTCTGTGTTTAAAAAAGTGGGTTCAAATACTATACTGATGTTATTATGCCAGTAGCCTATGGTAAGGCCTTGTCTCTAAAGCCAAGGGTGACCTCCCTTATGACCACCACTTGTGTCTTTATCACATACTTAATAACCTAAGTCAGTCCACTATACCTTTCAGTTCCTAATTATATGGCATTGGTTATGTGCATTTGAATATACTCTGGCTAGAGTAAAAATGGGCCCCAAGGGACACCTCATAACCCAAATTTCTTGGTGTGGAGTCCACTGGAAATGCCATAGCCACTTTGTACTTTTGTGTAGATGCTGATATAATTAATTGATAGCTGGACAACAAGAACTCTAATGAAACCAACCTAACTTTATTCAACATGATTTTATTGTATTAAAATGATCAGTGAAAAATAAAACGGCCTGGAAGAGTGATATTGGTGCGGGAGTGAAATCACATTGTGCAAGCTTTAATCCATGCTCTGAAGTTAAAGTCATAACCTTGCACCAGCACACAAACAAAAATTAAATTTTAAAGACTAGAGTAAATCTCAAGTTAAAATACGAGGGTTTTGTTACACCATATAAGATTGGCAGATGAACATGCTAGGTGAATTACTAAACTACTTAATGTTCCCTTTACATCATTTGCTAACTAACTGAAGCTATTCGTAGGGTGTTGCTACCCAGTCATATATATTCCAATGATTACTTTGGAGTTTCGAGCATTCTGATGTTTTCTCTGAAGGTCCAAGGAAATAATGTCAAGAAAGACTATCTCTAGCTCTGAATGCTAGACAAGGGTAAGAGGAAGGAGATCAGGTCAGGCTTTTGTGACCAACTACAGTGTAATTTCTCTGCACATAATATGACACCACCTGTCAGATGGAAATAGGATCAAGCTAGTTAGGTACCACATGAGAGTCATAGTTTGGTGGAGCCAAATATTTCCTGCAGGGGAGTCTTGTGAAATAACAATACAAAAGGATGTATTTTTATAAATCTCAGGGCACATGGTTCAGAGCTTATGATACTCAAGTGGTTGTCTATTCTACAACAGCACCCTTTTTACTATGGACTGAGTTGGACTCATTGGTTGGGTCTGAAAAAAATTTATATTATCAAGAGTTAATAAACATCTGCAGATAATAAAAAAAAGAAAATTCAACAAACTTCTGATGCAATCTGTTGGTTCAGCCAAACAGTATAAATTAATTCATATACAATAGCAATTCTAACCATATAATTATCAAGACCTAAATCTAGTTCATGACATTACATGGAGCACACTGTGAAGGATGTGAGTAAAATATCTGCTGAAAAGCAGGAGGAGGTAAAAACAGTCTACTAAATGTTCTTAAAATATTTCATCAGCTTTTAATAAAATATATGGAAGAACAAGCTAGGCCCACTGCTTTTTTTTTTCTGAAGCAGCTGGTATCAATATTGAAAGACAAGCCGCAACCATAACAGAGAATCATACACAGTGGGTGTTTGAGTTAATGGTAAGAGAACACATTCACAATGTGCACATAATTTGACGTTCATTTGTGAAAGACACCTGCATTGCTTATGGAAATATATTCCAGCCCAAGGTAAAGTGATAGCGCTATGTGTCCTCTGTGTTTTGCAGTCAGGAGAGCGATGGATGTGGAATGTACATATCATGACTGTGTCTGCTGATCCCTATCTGTCACTTTAAGCATGACCGGATCTTCTAAAAGGCAGCCAGCACTAATATTAAGTTTTCTACTTGATGTATTTTGTGTGTGTGTTATATTTGTTTTAAGATTTACCCTTTCCTG